TATATATAATGCGTTTTAACTAGAGGAGATCTGTCATAACCACCAATAAGTTTTACATGGTTAGTGTTGTTGAATAGGACGCACAGATGTGTGCCGACCCTGTTTCGTGATACTGTACCGTACACAGTGTTTAGAAATGTATGTGATTATACCTATCACACTAGTTGTGATGGCAATGAGGCAGGCGGCAGCAGTGGCTACGTAACGCGAAGTCGGCCTTCTAGCTGTGAAAGTGTAATACTCTATAATCACTCTGTAAATATTTTTCCCGTTTTGATACGGCAGGGTTTTATAATTCATCTAATTTTTTTAGCATAATCTTTTAACGATTATACGCGCGTTGTGGCAATTTACACATGATGTTCGTTACACATGATGACAATGAGCAAGAGCTCGTTGTTGGTATTCGAATGGCAAAATGTTAATAGAAGAAGTTTTGGCAGCAATCGGCGTTAAGAAAACTATAAATATAGGCGGAGTGGGAGAAAGTTATCAGAATCTCATTTTTTTAACACACGGGATTCTTGGACCATGATGGCTGAGATTTATCCTAACGAATTGTGAATGCTTATATCGAAAGAAATATAACGTAAGAATTTTGTTATGAAATTAAAAAAATATCGATGTTCTTCTATTTGTTTCGGCGATCGGTATCAAACACGCTTCATTCCGAGCCGGTGACGTCATTTGCGTTTCATGCCATTTTTGTTTAATGCGGTATATTATCCTTGAGGTAATTCGCAATGAAACCTGTATGTGTACGGTTCACATTCGCCGAGTTTTCTATATTCGTAGACGTAAGTACAAAACTGCGTGCAAAGAAACTATATTGCGATTGTAAAACGAGTGTTTGTCTGTTTCTTGCAAGATTGCGGATATTGCTGTCACGATAACGAAAAAAATTCGCTCGTGAGAGAGAAAGAAGTGCAGAGACAGTGATAGAATGTAAACAAGAGAGATCGAGAGGGGCGAGGAAGAAAGAGGCAGAGAGACAAAGAAAGATGGGAAAAAGCAAAATATGCTTTACTATTGTTTCGACTACCATAAGCGGTAAGCATTTCATAATGCATCATAACACTAATAATAATAATAATAATAATCCATAAACACTAATAGATGTTAAATAAGCTTGAATATATTTCTAATCATATAATAACCGCTAAAATAACGCGCACCGACTATGTGTCTTGGAGTTATCTACGTATGTATGTTTATATATATACTTATCGGCCATATAAAATATTTGTATTTACATCATAATACAAAACTACGGAAGTAAAACACTACTTCCTAAAGTTTAGAGGATACTTGATGCTCTGCTGATCCTAAAAGCTCTACTTTAATATGTATGTTACCTGGCAATAGGTTATCGGATATGTACTACGTATAGTGAGTGGGACGAGGGAAATAGGAATATGAACAGGAACATGTGCTACACATAGTCAGGCAGGTATGAATAGAGCAAACAAGAGAGTGTGGAAACATGCATGCGCGCACGCACACGCGGAGATCGATGCACGTATAGTACGTCTTCGCAAACACCAGCACGCACACATGCACGCGCAACAAAAAGTACGCACGCACGCACGCACACATGCACGCGCAACAAAATGTACGCACGCTCGCACGCACACATGCACGCGCAACAAAAAGTACGCACGCACGCACGCACACATGCGCGCGCAACAAAATGTACGCACGCTCGCACGCACACATGCACGCGCAACAAAAATGAACGCACGCACGCGCGCGCGCGCGCTTATACAGCT